CGCTGCACCCCTGTTGTTAATTGTACTACGATGAACACCATAAATATTTGTATCACACTGCTGCATAGGATGGTGAAAATAATATCCCTAACTTTACAAAGTAGATTGAAAATCAATATATCATTGCACTGAGCCTCATTTACAAGTGTACTCTTTTCAAATAATTTTTATTAAAGTTTTTTTTGTATAACAAATGATAATAATACAAACATTGTATTAGGGGTAGGAAAGGAGGGGTAACATGGAAATGGGAAGGGGTATCCATCCATCAATGAAATAAGCATATTAAAGTATACGGCAAAAAGAAAAATGTTTTACAACAATGCACTTTAACAATAAATATATCAAAGACCATAAATTGTTTTGATTTTTTCTTCCCATTTATCCCAGTTGTATTTTAGTATTGGGAAACCATGCATATTGGCTCTGTGTGATAATTCATGTGCCTTATTTTCTAAAATCAAATTAAAAACTTCTCTGAGAGATGGCACATTTTGAGACTTCCAATGTCTAGGTAAACAGGATGTAGCAGCGATCAGAATGTGGCCTATGATTATTTTATCTGATCTATTAATGGACTCCGGGAGTTTTTTAAATAAGGCTAGTTCCGAGGTTAAGATACTAATGGTTCCGTTCACTTTAATAATCAGATCGTGGATCATTTTCCAATAATTAATTAACTTGGGGCAGAACCACCAGATATGGGCCATATTGCCCACTCCCCCACAGTCTCTCCAACACCGGTCAGAATACATATTGTTCATGTTATGTAATCTAGACGGAGCCAGGTACCAGCGATATAAGATTTTATAATGATTTTCAAAATGGTCGGTGCAATACGAAATACCTTTTAAACCTGTAAAGAAACCGAACCATTCTTCTAAATCGTACTGGGCACCCAACTCCGTCTCCCATGACAGCATATGTTTTAATTTAATTAAGGACTTGGCATTATGAGATAAGTAACATAAGGATATCATACCTTTACTAGCGGGGCTGTATAAAATAACTTTCTCTAAAGGAGATATCTCAAGTGATTTATAATTTTTATCTGTTTCAGGTACCTGGTATAGTTCTTTCAATTTATCAATGATTATCATACATTCCAGTTCACATGCATTCGACAATCCATACTTAAGCTTCAATTTTTCCAAAGAAAGAATAGCATTGCCATAAAAAAAAATTGTCCAGATTAGTTATAGAGCAATCCTTCAATAATTCTATTTTTAAGGATGGTATATGATCTTTCAATAATTCAATTACAAGTGTACTCTGCTATGTAGTAATGCTTTCTTGAAGTGTTAAGCAGCACTGCCCCCTACAGGTCATCCTGCAAATAGTTCATTAAATTTTCACTTCATTTTTACTTGCATTGGGAGGTAAATCATACTGTAAACTGGATTTGATGTATAATAATAGACTTGGAAAAGTCACGTATGTATGAAAATGTTTTTTATCTCTCTCTATATGTGTATTGCTTTAATAATCAGAATATATAAAATATATATTATATATATTATTATGGGAAATTAATCCCTTAGGGTTTCTGGAGATATCACAATAAAGCACAAGATAAAGAGCTTTTATTTTTGGCTGCTGTCCTAAATTCAGCCCCTCTTTCTTTAGTGTTATGGCAGGAGAGGAGCATTGTCTCTGTCACCCTACCACCTCACGATGGTGAATCAGTAGGAAGAATTGTACTTAGTTAATGACACTAGCTGCAAAATGTAAATACTAGTATTACTTCTTCTTTAAGTTGTATATCTAGTCACTTTTTGCATGGCCGCATGCAGGGATGTGAACAAATTTTTGGGTACACAAGTGTGTGCTAATGGTATACATGTAAGAAGTCTTTAGTCTTTTGCAAGCATAGTGTGTGAGCATAGAACTATGAATCTAAGTCCTTAGTTAATAAGAGAAGATCAATTAAGTTCTTAAAATGTAAATTACCTCTGACACTTCTCCAAATGTCTTGGCTTAGTGAAAATAGAAACAAAAACATACAAATTATAGGCCCAGCTCCACTGCCAACGCAAGGTGTGCCACTGGCGATGCCCCCTCAATGCCCTCCACATGTCCCAAGTCCATACCTACCAATGTCAGAAGTATGCATTTACCTGGGACCATGACAAGAAGAGGTTGATTTTTCAGCAGCACTGCACTTTTGTTTGTGTCTAGCCATGTATACCTGCCAACCTGCATCCCTATCTAATTTCAATGTCCTGTCTAACATCTAGGGACACCAAGGAACTGACCCCAGCAAGTGCATAATTAGGTATGCTTCCATAATACTGAAGCCACTAAGAATTTCTGACAAAACTTCACGAGTGTTCTGTGCATTGTTTGAGAAAAGCTGTCAGTCAGTGTGGTGTGCATTCACCCAGGGTGACACGCCCCTTCTTTGCATGGCCAGATCAGAACACCAGTGGCGGATCCAGAGCCTGATCTCGGGAGGGGCACTTGTAGATTATTTAAAGAAATAATCCAGACACAATAACCACTACAGTTCAGTGTAGTGGTTATGGTGTCAATAGTGCCGGGACCCCCTCGCAGAGTAAGTAGTCAAACGGTTTAAGAACAGTTTGACAACTTACCTGAGGTCTTCTGGGAAATGGGGCTGTAGTAGGGCATAGGAGCAGTGGTGTGTGTGAGTGGTGCAATGTGTAAGGGGTGCAGTGTGTGTGTGGGGGGGACGACAGTGTGTGAGCATTGTGTGTGTGTGTGAAGGTTTTAGTGTGTGAGTGAGGGCGGCAGTGTATGTGTGGGACAGTATGTGTGTAACAGTTGCAGTGTGTGTGTGTGTGTGTGTGTGTGTGTGGATTGCAGTGTATGTGTGAGTGTGGGCAATGTGTGTGTATGGGGGGCAGTGTATGTGTAGGGCAATGTGTCACCGATTTGGGCATCACCAGTGATACAAGTAGCATCACTACTATGCCCTTTTTGGCCAGCCCATGCACTGTCCCCCAGATCAAAAATCCCACTGTTTTGAAGTATGTAGCGTGTGTGAATCCTATGTCTATCTGGCAGTATGTATTCATGTAAATGTGTTTGTGTTTCTGCAAGAGCGTGTTTGTTTAGGAATACGTATGTGTAACTGGGAATGTGAATCTGTGAGTGTGTATCCACGTGTCTGAGAAAACTCATCTCTGTGGAGGCCTCCCAACTCTTTAACTTTATATTTTAGAATACTATCCCACTGTCCCAATTTTATTGCCTGGTGTCACTCATCTAGAGACACCAGAGTAATGTAAATAGCCAGGCTGTGACTAAAGTTAGAATTTTTTTTCAGATTGCAAATTTTTTCTGGCCTACATTTTGCCATTGGCAATTCTTTTTGCTAAAATGGAAAAGAAACTTGTTGGACTCCAAGAAAAATTTGTAAGATGTATATAACATTCATAATATTTGAAATAATGTAAACAATTTAATACAAGAATAAATATGCAAATTTTTAATAACGGAAATCAATCTACAACAAAAAAATACATTAATTAAATATCATTGTCTTCTTCACTAAGATCCATTAAGATGTGCCGGAAGGATTGCTTTCATTGAGCTCACAAAGAACTCTCTGCATTAGCTGATCTCTCTATCCCTTTAAACATTCATCTAAAAAGAAAAAAATAGTGTTTCTGGAAAAATATAACTTTATGCAATGCAATACTTTTATACCCAGCAGTCCAATCCCTTGTACATTATTAAATATTCTATGCCAAAGGTTTGGAAAGCCTTTCTGATATTTGCAAAGATCCCCTCCCAAATAGTGATCTCCTCCCTCAACTATCATCATTACAATTTTTTAAATTTTATTTTGCATGGTTAACCTTAAAAATCTACACCCAGAAGCCTGGAGTTCTAAACAGGTTCCAATCCCCCTCCCCTTGTCAGGAAATTTTCTTAAAGGACCACTATAGGCACCCAGACCACTTCAGCTTAATGAAGTGGTCTGGGTGCCAGGTCCAGCTAGGGTTAACCCTTTTTTTTAATAAACATAGCAGTTTCAGAGAAACTGCTATGTTTATATTAGGGTTAATCCAGCCTCTAGTGGCTGTCTCATTGACAGCCGCTAGAGGCGCTTGCGTGCGTCTCACTGTGAAAATCACAGTGAGAAGACGCCAGCGTCCATAGGAAAGCATTGTAAATGCTTTCCTATGAACTGGCTGAATGCGCGCGTGGCTCCTGCCGCGCATGCACATTCAGCCGAGGACGTCGCTATGAAGGAGGAGAGGAGGAGGAGAGCTCCCCGCCCGGCGCTGGAGAAAGGTAAGATTTTAACCCCTTCCTCTCCCCAGAGCCCGGCGAGAGGGGGACCTTGAGGGTGGGGGCACCCTCAGGGCACTATAGTGCCAGGAAAACGAGTATGTTTTCCTGGCACTATAGTGGTCCTTTAATAACCAAAAATACTGCTTATTATGGTAGCAAGGCATAGCACTAACCAGTTATACTTTACATGTATTACATTATTGTAGCTGATTTTATAGTATACACATAATAGAACTATACCAGACCACCTTCTCTATACTATATTCTTTCATTATTTAAAGCACTGCTTAAGAGGTGTATCGTATTACTAATAGCCAATCCACACTTAAATATTATAAAATTTCGGTCCATAGGTGGTCCTGTATAACACAAACTCTAAAGACTTGTAAGCCAAAACTTGCTGTATGCTCATTATATTATTGAACATAGCTACTGGTATTACTTGTGTGTGGATAGAACATAATTAATAAATATAAAACATTATAGGTATTTTAACAGAAACATAATTATGAAATTTATCTAACATTAACTGGGTTATTTACTAAGGTGAGTCTTGTCAGGTTTTCAAAGTGAATTTCAAATTAAAGGCCAAAGAAGCCAAACTGGAGAGATTCTCAAAGTCAGCTATGCTTCCAGTTTAGTCTCTTTGGCCTTAAATTTGAAATTCCCTTTCAAAGTCGTTTTGAATTTCTAACAATTATTACTTTAGTAAAAAAAAAAAACAACTTGAAAGTGTTTTACAAGTATTGGGGTATTGGCTCTCTACTCACATTGTTCCAAACATTCCAGATGTTAAAATTATTATCTGGGGACGTGCTGTCATTCAAAGATGGAAACGATTTGGAAGATGCTTCTTCTAAAGCAGATGGCCAAGGAGAGCTCTCCTCGGATGGACATTGAGGTTGGTCATTGGTGGCTTCATCGAGCTTGTTCCAGATGTTAAAGGTGTTCTCCGGGGAAGTGAAGTCGTCACTGTCATACAAAGATGGAAAATACAGTGAAGGTGCTTCTTCTAGCCCAGATGGCCAAGGTGAGATCTCATCTAATTGACATCGAGGCTGATAATTGGAGGCCACATCAAGCTTTTTCCAGATGTTTAAGGTGTTCTCTGGGGAAGTGAAGTCGTCACTGTCATAAAAAGATGGGAAATACACTGAAGGTGCTTCTTCTAGCACAGACGGCAAAGGTGAGATCTCATCTAATTGACATTGAGGCTGATCATTGGAGGCCACATCAAGATTTTTCCAGATGTTAAAGGTATTCTCTGGGGAAGTGAAGTCGTCACTGTCATAAAAAGATGGGAAATACACTGAAGGTGCTTCTTCTAGCACAGACGGCAAAGGTGAGATCTCATCTAATTGACATTGAGGCTGATCATTGGAGGCCACATCAAGATTTTTCCAGATGTTAAAGGTATTCTCTGGGGAAGTGAAGTCATCACTGTCATACAAAGATGGGAAATACACTGAAGGTGCTTCTTCTAGCACAGACGGCAAAGGTGAGATCTCATCTAATTGACATTGAGGCTGATCATTGGAGGCCACATCAAGATTTTTCCAGATGTTAAAGGTATTCTCTGGGGAAGTGAAGTCATCACTGTCATACAAAGATGGGAAATACACTGGAGATGCCTTTTCTAACCCAGATGGCCATGGTGAGTTCTCCTCTGATGGACATTGAGGTTGGTCATTGGTGGCTACATCATGCTCGTTGCAGATGTTAAATCTATTCTCTGGGAAAGTGAAACCATTGTTATTACCCAAGGTTGGAAAATACAGTGAAGATGTTTCTTCTTTTAGCCCAGATGAACAAGGTGATGTCTCCTCTGATGGGAATTGAGGTTGGTCATTGATGGCCACATCATGCTTGTTCTGAATGCTAATTCTATTCTCCTGGGAAGTGAAGCCATTGTTTTTATTCAAGGTTGGAAAATACAGTGAAGTTGCTTCTTCTAGTCCAGATTGGAAAGGTGATGTCTCCTCTGATGGGCATTGAGGTTGGTCATTGGTGGAAAGATCATGTTTTTTCTGAATGCTTAATCTATTTTCCATGGTAGTGAAGCCATTATTTTTATCCGAGGTTGAAAAATACAGTGAAGATGCTTCTTCTAGCCAAGATGGCCAAGGTGAGGTCTCATTTGATGGGCATTGAGGTTGGTCATTGGTGGCAACATCATGCTTGTTCCAGATGTTAAATCTATTCTCTGGGGAAGTAAAACCATTGCTCTCATACCAGGATGTATAATACATTGAAGAGACTTCTTCCATCACTGTACATACACTCACAGTCTCTTCTACATGTATACTCATTTCAAAAGATATCACCAGGCTTGCTTCAGTGTGAATTTCCTGCTCCATAATAATAATGGAGCCATGATGCAGACTGTAATGTGCTTGCATCATGGTGGTTGACATCATATTTATCTCAATAAGTCTATTAAATATATATATGAAAGTGCTCCCTAACTTGAGTTACACAAGTCTGCTGTTGATAGTAGACGGTTTAGGCTTCTCATTGTTTGAATTTCTGTTTCCATGGAGGTCATGGAACTTTAAAGCAGTATGGGACCAGCAGTTACCGTGCTTGTGTTGAGATGATGTATATCTTATGATGTCACAAAACTTATCTAAGCTGATATAGATATAAAGCGAATAGGCATTGGTGAATTGCCCAAAGATCTAAGTAACAGTCCCTAGTTTTTAACTGTTGTCATATTATCATATTAAACTTTTATTACTGTTAAACAGTATTTAGATTTTAACCTACTCCAAAAGACGATCAAAATATGATTAGTCTATATGACATTTATATTTGACTTATTACTTTAAATTATTATATAAATAAACAATAAATACACACGTACATATATCAAGACCCATGACTGCTGGCTTTTGTTTTTTTTATATATATATATATATATATATATATATATGTGCACTGGTCACATGGATGGCCAGATATACATTCTGCATCATGCAGAGGTCCATGTTTATTTTTTTTGTTATATAGCCCTAATGTGTCGATTTCTATTGAAACGTTACAGATAATATTAAAACTTGGAGGTGGTGGTTCAATAGATACATAGATAGTTTTAGAGCAAAGCAGACAAGCTGGAAAATAGCTGGCTTGTTGACTTTGCTAAGGCCTGGCTAGATACATCTATATCTCTCAAAATTATAAATACAACACTTTTGTTTTTACCCCCATTTTTCATGAGCTGAACACAAAGATCTAAGACTTTTTCTATGTACACAAAAGGCCCATTTCTCTCAAATATTGTTCACAAATCTGTCTAAATCGGTGTTAGTGAGCACTTCTCCTTTGCTGAGATAATCCATCCACCTCACAGGTGTGGCATATCAAGATGCTGATTAGACAGCAGGATTACTGCAAAGGTGTGCCTTAGGCTGGCCACAATAAAAGGCCACTCTAAAATGTGCAGTTTTATCACACAGCACACCTTTGAGGGTGTGTGCAATTGGCATGCTGAGTGCAGGAACATCCACCAGAGTTGTTGACCGTGAATTGAATATTCATTTCTCTACCATAAGCCATCTCCAAAGGCGTTTCAGAGAATTTGGCCTCACAACCGCAGACCACGTCACACATGTCATGTGTCCTTAACGGGTTAAACACAACTAGGATCCCACAGCAACCATATCAAATTAGTTGTCTTCCTAGGTAGCTTGGACATTTTACATACTGTTGGTATGCTAAAAGCCGTGGATGACACCTTACCCACCTCTGCAAACCCCCCAGACGTACAAGGCACCAACCCATACACAAGGCCACTGACTTACAGCCCACCCCCTTGACATCCCTGAAACCAACAACCAACGCCAGCGCACGAAACTATTACCAACGACAACCGACACGCCAACCACAATGGTATCCATCTCTTTACCCCTCATCCTGTAAAGCCAAGCTGTAACCCACCCGATTATAAGGATTGCACTTGTACCCCTCCCCCTTGTCTTTATTCTGTACCCCACGTTTACAGTTGAAACCTTAAAAATAAAGAATTCTTTAAAAGCCGTGGACGAATATACTGTTAAAGTGACAATTCTCTGCAGTGGAAATACTGTGTTTTCTGAGAAAAGACAATGTACATCACTTTATAACGTTATGTCTACATAATTTGTATGCCTAACTTTACGGTGCTCCTTTAAATCCCATGTAGCCCAATTGCAAGCAAAGGCTGACTTAGAGGGTTGTTAAAGGACCACTATAGTGCCAGGAAAACATACTCGTTTTCCTGGCACTATAGTGCCCTGAGGGTGCCCCCACCCTCAGGGTCCCCCTCCCGCCCGGCTCTGGAAGGGGAAAGGGGTTAAAACTTACCTTTTTCCAGCGCTGGGCGGAGAGCTCTCCTCCTCCTCTCCGCCTCCGTTGCAGCCCGCCGGCTGA